TCAGATTATCTACATGAATGGGGGGGCGGACTTCCTTTTGACACCTCCCCCGGTCGTACCGAAATTCAAGGAATTGAAGAAAATTTTAAATCCAAATTTCTTATTACTCACGGGTTGTTGCTTTACAGTCCCAAATTCAAGGAAAAAAGTCAGCGCTCTCTGGCCATGGCTTGCGGCTTCACTCCGTAGAAGTAGCGATCTGCTCCCAGCACCGCGCCACTCACCTTCCCCCACTCCAAAGCCTTTAAAAAGGCTTCTTCGCGGGTTGGGGGGCGCAAATGGTGCCCACTGAGCCACCACGTCCACAGGCTTCAGCGCCTGTGGTTTTTGAGGGTCCCCACGTCGCTGTCGCGACGGGACCCGTCTTCCACGGAGCCGATTCTCTCCGGAGCTCGGAGAGAATCCGCCATTAGCCGTTGGCGCTAACCCGGAAGTCCCCGCAACTTCCATTCCTGATCCACAGGATGACCTCTTCTCTTATTCCACGGCTACTAAGCTTACTCAGGAGGCACCTTGATGAAAGTGTCAGGATGCGGTGTCTCTCCCCCACACAACATGACTCCAGCAGTTAATTGTGGTGGTCAGGTGGGATTGCTATGAGGAATTATGGGAAATGTAGCAAGCCATTGTGTCAGCAATGAACGCATTGCTTTGACTGGGCTTGAGCCATTTGACATGATTTCTGATCGAATCCCACAAGCCTCTGCACCTCTGCCATTTTCTCTCTGCCTGACAGTCACGTATAGCATGCTAAAACACAGACCAGTTGCTTCACCGGGCATCCTCAGTACATAAAGACAGAAAGTAGCTTTGATGTAGATTTTGTTAATCTTTAGGTCGATCTTAAGGGCCAGGAAGAGAGTTCACAAGGAGATGGTAAATACTGTCTTTCTTTCCGATGGGTTTATGACCTCTGGGTTTCCTAAATGCATTCCTCCTTGGTTCCTGTTCGTTTAGCTTAACCACGTATGCATGCTCAAGTAGGAAATAGTTTATTTGTAGTTAAAAGGATTTCTCTGATCTGACTTTGTCCCACGTGGGGGATTTTTGGAAATGGTCAGAGGAAATCTGATTGGTTCTTACAAACGCTGTGTTAAGAGTTCTTTTGTTAATACAGTGGCACCTCAGGTTACATACGCTTCAGGTTACAGATGCTTCAGGTTAGACTCCGCTAACCCTGAAATAGTACCTCAGGTTAAGAACTTTGCTTCAGGATAAGAACAGAAATCCTTCTCTGGCGGCGCAGCAGCAGCAGGAGGCCCCATTAGCTAAAGTGGTGCTTCAGGTTAAGAACAGTTTCAGGTTAAGAACGCACCTCCAGAACGAATTAAGTACTTAACCCGAGGTACCACTGTTAAAGGGACCTGGGCCAGGGTGTGGCAGATTATTATTGGCATTTCCTCCCAGAGTCTTGCTGGCCAAGCCTCGTGTGTATTTTATTAATCAGGGCCCAATCCTTTCCTTCACCTTATTAGGTTAATGGACTAAAAAAGGCCACAACTTTATTGATTACAGCGTGTGAGAAGAATTGGCTTAGGCAGTGGATAAAACAACAGGAAGGGGTGAGTCTAACAAGGGTTAACCACCAGTAGGAGGAGCCTGTGGATGCAAATACAACTGTAAACTCCCCCTGCCCTAGCCATGGCCCTAGCCACCACAAGGGCGTCAGACAGGATCCACGATGCCAGATTCCTTTACCGGAATACCCATAACGTGGAGAGCTAGGCGATGGCCACACCCTGCCCTCCAATACACAAACATATTCCAATGCCTAACCGCCAATACCCAAAAAGTTGTGACGATTTGCTACGAGGTAGGCGAAAAACCAAGTGGCTGGTGCCAATTAGCCAGTTCAGCAACCAAGGTCCATAGCAAGGTCAAGAAGCAAGCAGTGAACTAAAGGGAGGGTGGGTGGGTGATCTGATGAAAACCAGCAGCACAATGAAAGGGAAGCACTGCCGCGGCCGCATTTGAGCAGCTAAACCCCGCCCCAAGCCTCCACTGGTTGGCTACCTGGGGGCATGATGTGGCAGCCGGGCCAGCTGGGCAGGGGCCGGAACGCCCCCTGCTGACACGGGAAACAGCTCCCGCTCACAACTCCTCCCCTCTGTAAGGAGGAGAGGCTTTCTTAAATTGTGGTGCCCAGAACTGGACACAATATTGTAGGTGTGGTCTGACCAAGGCTGAATAGTACTGCTCTATTTAGCCTCGGTCAGCAGACACATGGAATACTGTGTCCAGTTCCGGGCACCACAATTGAAGAAGATTGTATGTGCAGAGAAGGGTGACCAAGATGATGAAGGGTCTGGAAACAAGTCTCAGGAACAGTTGAAGGAGTTGGGTATGTTTAGCCTGGAAAAGAGGAAACTGAGAGGAGATGTGATAGAGCACCTTCAAATATCTAAAAGTCTGTCCCATGGAAGATGGAGCAAGCTTGTTTTCTCCTGCTCTGGAAGGTAGGATCAGATCCAATGGATCCAATTTCAAAGGCAGGAGAAATCTTCAGAAGGATGTTAGCGTAGAAAATGATTGTTCAGATAGAAAACTCATCATAGGGACATCAGTGTAGATAGAAAATATGCCTTACTTATACATCATCATTATTAATAATAATAATAATAATAATAATAATAATAATAAATAAAAATACCAATAATAATAATTTATTTATACCCCGCCCATTTGGCTGAGTTTCCCCAGCCACTCTGGGCGGCTTCCAATCGAGTGTTAAAAACAATACAGCGTTAAATATCAAAAACTTCCCTAAACAGGGCTGCCTTCAGATGTCTTTTAAAGATAATATAGCTACTTATTTCCTTCACGTCTGAAGGGAGGGCGTTCCACAGGGCGGGCACCACTACCGAGAAGGCCCTCTGTCTGCTTCCAGCAGTGGCTCCCTGTCTGTGGAATGCTCTTGCCAGGGAAGTTTGCCTGGCGCCTTCGTTATACCCCTTTAGGCACTGGGCAAAAACCTTCCTCTTTAACCAGGCCTTTGGTTGACCTGATGGACATCCTATACCCTTTTAAAATGTGGCTCCTTTCGGGGGGTGGGTGTTATTGGGTTGCTGTTTTTATTCTGGTTATATATGTTGTGCTCTTTTCTGAGAACTCCACTGAGACCTCTAAATAAATAAATTCAATAAATAAATAAATCATCACCATTATCATCATATCCTTGTAAAGGGAGTGGGTTTCATGAGTTCACAGTGTTCAGATGTAGGTACTCTATGTAGAGCGTGTATATATTTGCATACATCCTAAAAGAATATATTGGTCCTGACCCCAACGAAGGTGCATTGCTATTTAAAGTCCAAGCTGACCTTTCCACCCTATGCTGGCCCATGTCAAAACAGGGCAGCTGCTTCTCTGTGTTCTTGCAAACATGTTTTCTCCAGCTCTGCATCTGCTCCTCAAGCCACAGAGAGACTCCAGAAGGTTGCCAGGGCGATGCTTCCCCGCCTCATAAATATTCTTATTTTCCCAGGGATTTCTCCAGGGATTTCTCCAGAGATTCATAATTTCTTGCCCTGGAGTCTGAAAAGTCTGGTGCATAAAATATCCCCTGTCTTGTCAATTCCCTAAACAGCTGCAGACAGTGAGAGGGATAGAGCAAAAAGCCTACATCACAAATGAAAAGTGGCTGTGTTCTTCCTTCTTTCCCTCGTGCTTTTAGGACACCCCAAACGGGCTAGTTCTAAATGTCACCACAAACATATTTTTGAGGGTGGCAGGTTGTGCACAACCATCTCATCCCCCTGCAATCCCAAGGGTTGTGTTAGAGCGCCCCAACCTTCCAGGTGGCCCCTGAAATCCTATTTTGGTATAAGAGAGGGATAAAGCTAAATATTGTTTTCAGGGTGGGTTGCTTGAACCCCCTATGTGAATTTCCTCTTGTTCTTGGTCACAAGGAATGGGTTTCAAGTCCCCCTGCCCTATGTGGCCCCTTCAGCCCCCATTTTGGTTTAAGGGCCCAATGAACCTGAACGTTTTGCTTGGGATGGGCTGTGAGCACTCAACACAACCAACTCATCAATTCTTTTTCTTAAAAAATAGTTTTTATTTGATTTTACAAGATTATAACAATACAACCATACATATCTATATTTAAAGATCTCTCCAAATCTTTGGACTTCTCACCTTCCCCTCCATGGGTTTTCAACTGCATACTGTTCAATAGTCAATATTGTACATCACTCCATTTTCTCCATAGCAACTGCTACATTACAAGTGTTATTGCAATCCTCCTAATGTTTTCATCTGCTTACAGTGGTCATCAACTCATCAGTTCTGATCAGGAGGAATGGGTTTTGATTTCCCCCGATGCTCCATGAAACTCCCCCCTTTTCTAAAGTTAAGGGCCCAGTGGAGCTAAACATTTTTGTGGGTTTCATGCAAACTCTCTATAAGCGTGGTCTGTTGCATGTCCCCGCAGCCATTTATGGGTCCCAGACACACAAGAGTCCTGAACACAAGGACCATAAAGTTCCCGCACCACTTTGATTGTGCGACGCACCCTGATTGCTTCCTGGTGTCTGGAGTACGGATGGCTCCCGCCTCCCGTGATTCTCCAATACAGTTTTGGAAGTTCCAGGCAGCTGTAAAAGTTCTAAACAGTTCTATAAAGTTTATAAAAGTGAAATCTTAGTCTGCTTCAACAGAAGTATAGTGTCCAGATCAAGGGAAGTAATAGTCCCACTCTATTCTGCCTTTGTCAGACCACACCTGGAATACTGTGTCCAGTTCTGGGCACCATAAATTAAGGAAGATATTGATGAGTTGACAGGTATGGGGTGGAGGGTGACCAAGATGACCAAGGGCCAGGGAGGAATGGAGGAGACCACCTCTCCATCCTGACCCTCCCAGGGAGGAGGAAGAGGAAGACAGTATAGATTTACAACAGGGGTTTGAGGGAAGTCACAGCTCAGAGGCAGATGAGGGGGAAAGTTGGGAAATGATGGGAGAGCCAAAGCAACACCTGGCTGACATGTCATTAGAAAGCATTCTAGACCCACCATCTTCCAGAACCCAGCGAGCCTTGAAAGTAGGAGAGCAAAGAGCTCAAAGACAGAGGGTACTTAGCAGCACCCGCAGAGAAGGTGACGATGAATGAGGAAGTGAGAGAGCCGGGGGCTGGAGATTCACTTGGAGAAATAACAGGAGTGACAGTGGACATCCTTGTTCCATTCCAAGAATAATTACAAAATTTTGGTAATGTGAATTCCCTGTGATCTATGTGATCTATATCTTCCAAAGTATTAACAAATTTTCAGCCAAATTTCATAACTATTTCCATTAAGTTGGTTTGTTCTACATGATCAAATGAGGGTAATGATTTTTTAAATTGAAACATTATTTTTCAAGAACATCACTTCTCTACCTTCCTGAAAAATAATATTTTAAGAATCAGATGCTATCTTTTGTTTTTGTTGTCAGGTGCTCCTTTGTGTTCAGATCAGGTCTCAACAAAACAATGTAGCATTTGGGAATGAAGATGCAGCCCAGGAGCCCAGCACTGGAGGCCAAGATGGAGAAGACCTGAACGGCTACCATGTATCTCCCCTTGGTGCTCAGGTAGGTGGGCACAAAGGACACCCAAACACTGCAGAAGACCAGCATGCTGAAGGTGATCAGCTTGGCTTCATTGAAGGCCCCAGGCAGCTTCCTGGCTAGGAAAGCCACCGTGAAGCAGATGACAGCCAGGAAGCCCATGTAGCTGAGGGAACCATAGAACATGGCCACAGACCCTTCGTTGCATTGCAGGATGATCTCTCCAGGCTGGGAGTGCATGTCAGAGTCTGGGAATGGTGGCGAGATCCCCAGCCAGATCATGCAGATGACAACTTGGACACAGGAACAAGAAATGACAATGGAGTTGGCCAGACTCTTCCCCAGCCATCTCCTCACTGAGTTCCCTGGCTTGGTGGCCAGGAAGGCCAGAACCACAGTGATGGTTTTTGCCAACACAGAAGAAACAGCAACAGAGAAGATGATGCTGAAGGCTGTTTGTCGGAGAAGGCAGGTCCCTTTCCTTGGCCTCCCAATGAACAGGAAGGAGGACAAAAAGGAAAGCAGGAGGGAGAGCAGGAGGATGTAGGAGAGGTCCCGGTTGTTGGCTTTGACTATGGGAGTTTCGTTGTATTTAATAAAGATTCCTAAATTAAAGCTTGTGGCTAAGGACCCCAGTAGGGCAAGGGAAAGTAGGACAACCCCCAGAGATTCTTCATAGGCTAGGAAGGTGATATGCTTGAACACACATTGATCTCGGTTCATGTTTGGATGCTGATTTTCTGGGCATTTTTGGCAATGGTCTGCATCTGCGAGAGAGAGAGAGAGAGAGAGTAAGTAATGTCTAATATGCTGGATTTGGCCAAGCCCTGAGCAGTATCTAGCCTCTTGGGAGAGATTCAGTTGTAGAAGAAGTCAGTCTTAGACAGCCACAGATCACTACAGGTATTTAATCAGGTTTTTCTAAACATTAGCTCTACCCCGAAGAAATTTGGGACAGATTCCAGGGCTGGAGATCCCCAGCTTGGCCTCTGGCAGATTGGGCTGCTTGGAGGCCCCTATACCAGGGCCAAAAGGAGGATCAGGGGTCTGTGCAGAAGTCTAATATCTACCCTAGGTCCATAACAATCTCCCTCCTCAAGGACCCCGGGACAGTTAAGTCCAGTCAAAGGCAACTATGGAGTGCAGCATTCATCTTGCTTCAGGCCAAGGGAGCTGGTGTTTGTCCACAGACAGCTTTCTGGGTCATGTGGCCAGCATGACTAAATCGCTTCTGGTGCAAAGGGGCACCATGACGAATGCCAGAGCGCACGGAAACACCGTTTACCTTCCCGCTGCAGTGACACCTATCCATCTACTTGCACTGGTGTGCTTTCGAACTGCTAGGATGGAAGAAGCTCAGAGAGAAATGGGACCTCAGCCCCTCGCGTAGTTTCAAACTGCTGCCCTTCCGATCAGCAAGACCAAGAGGCTCCGTGGTTTAGACCTCCCTCCTTCACATTTGATCATATTTATATATATATGATGTTGTTGTTGATGATTATTTGAACCACCCAGTTCTCTCCCACACATGAAGCATACCAGCCTTGTCCTGCCCAGAAATGGTTTTGAGAGATTCCTGACTGACCGCTTCTCTCTTCCCCAAGGCCAGCCTTTCCCTTGGAGTCACCCACCTTCCTGAGTGGAGATGGTCCCTTCTGCACAGGGAAGACATTCATAACAGCAAAGAGGCTTCCCTTCCTGAATCACCTTGACGGATCCAGGGCGACAGCTTTCCACACACCTGGAAGTAGGAAGGGTCTAGGCACAAAGACGAAGAGCGTCAATGAGAATTGTTCTTTGAGGCATAGTATGTTGTGAGAGCTGGACCATAAAGAAGGCTGATCGCCAAAGAATTGATGCTTTTGAATTATGGTGCTGGAGGAGACTCTTGAGAGTCCCATGGACTGCAAGAAGATCAAACGCATCCATTCTTAAGGAAATCAGACCTGAGTGCTCACTGGAAGGACAGATCGTGAAGTTGAGGCTCCAATACTTTGGCCACCTCATGAGAAGAGAAGACTCCCTGGAAAAGACCCTGATGTTGGGAAAGATGGAGGGCACAAGGAGAAGGGGACGACAGAGGATGAGATGGTTGGATAGTGTTCTCGAAGCTACAAACATGAGCCTGACCAAACTGCGGGAGGCGGTGGAAGACAGGAGTGCCTGGCGTGCTCTGGTCCATGGGGTCACGAAGAGTCGGACACGACTAAACGACTAAACAACAACAACAACAACATGTTGTCATCTGCTGTAGCATCTAGACTATAGCTTGAAACTCAGCATTTCCCATCACTGTCCATTACATGAATGATTCATGATTAAATTCAGAAAAAAACAAGGGACCTCCATTAAATAAAGTTCTGTATATGGGCCATGAGCTATTCACTACTGATAAAATTCATATAACAACCGAAAAGCAAGGAACCCCCCTTTCCCCAGACACACAGTTTAGCAGGAAGCCTCCTTTGGCACCCAGCTGAGCAGAGGAGCTGTAGGAACTATCTGGAACAACAGCCCAGTGCTGGAGTTGACAGGCAAGTGAGGGCAGCAGCCCACAGAACAGGGAGCACTCATTAGAGCTCATAGAAAAGACAGCAAAATGACAGGCATCATTCCCACTCCCCGTCACCTGATTGAGCCACTTGGGCCACACAATGGCCTCCTGGTCGATGGAGCACTTCAGGTCTGGGGATCCCTGTCTGTCAATACTCCCAAACTTCACTCTGAGGACGGATTTATTGGGGAACACCACCCAGTTCACAATGTCCAAGTCGGCTGCCAGCTCCCCGTTCTCATCCAAATACACTCTGTCCATGGAAGAATTGTAGAACTGGGTGTTTCCTAGGAAAGGGTGGAGCTGGAACAGAATCAAAGATGAGAGCATTTAGAATAAAGGGAAGCATAGGCCCCTGTTTTGCTGGCCCAGAAATGGAAAGTCAGCGAGGTCCCAGCTAAAGAGGATTGGCAGCTTAAGTGGACAGAATATGCAGAACTTCCAGATTTAACATACAGAATAAGAGAGCAAGAACATACATTGAAAGAAGAGTGGAAAGCATTTATTGAATATAGGCAAAATAACTGTATGCAGCTGAAAATGGTGGCAGCATTAAGATAAACTCAACCACATAAATAATGTTTGATGGATGTAAAAGGAGAAAACTGATTTGAATGGTTATAGCAAAATATACAGGGATGTAAAATGAACCATGGAAAGAGAAGAAGGGAAGTCATCGGATATTTCAGAGTTTGTAAAATGTTTATTTGGAATTGTTCGATTGAAAATTTAGTAAAAATTATCTAATAATAATAATGGAAGCATACTGACAATCCACTTCCCCTTTGCTTTGGGCTGGTTGCAGACTCAAATAGTAATGGAGGGATCTTGTCACTTTTGGTTCATACTCTTTTCTCTCACACACAAACCCCAATCTTAAATACAGTTCTCCACATTTCTGAAGCATTTTTAAAATAATAAGAATAGAAACTCATCTGAATTCTTCAGCATTTCTGTGTCATTTTCTCCTAGTAAGCATGTTTTTGAAGGAAGCTGCCCCCTTGGATTCTTTCAGAAATTAGGTATGTTTTTCCTTTCAAGGCAACCTGAATGAAATCTCCAATATGGGCTTCTGCAGGGAAAGGCAGGAGCTTGGTGGAGGGAGCAGAGAGCCAGAGCAGAGTCAAGCAGGTGTCAAAGGAATAGAGACTAGAGACAGCCTGATCAATGTCATCTCCCCTGCCAAAAATAATTCCAACTTGCAGGGAAAGGAGAATTGGGCACATGATGGGAGCAGTTGCTCGGGGGGCTGTGCAATGAGGCAAGAGTAAGAATAGCAAACAGAAATGAAAAATGTATATGTATTAAGGAAGGTTTAAAATGGAAAATGGGTAATGTGTTTTGCAAACTTTGAGTTTTTTCCATAGTAGTTTTTTTCTAAAGGGCTCCGGGCTCTTGTTGAGATTAAGATTAACTAACTGGTTTAACATGTGAGTGCTGTAACCTTAGATCATGTGATGAAGGTATTGGATTGCAATATCTCCTTTTTGAAGGGAGTTGCCTTTTTGTCTTTGGCTCCAAAACTCAATAGAGTCAATATGGAAAGGAAGCTCTTCTGAAGATTAAAGAGAGAGAGAGATCCCGAGCCTGTGTTGGACAGAATGATGTTCTCATTCTGTTATAAAGAGTTCTGTGAGTAAAGAGTGAATAATATTTCTATGCGCCTGGACGATAATTCATTTCCAAAAGGAAATGAATGCTTCCAGTTCTTATGCTTCCAATCGTTTCAAACTGCACAATATTCAATATCTGCAACACTACAATCGATTTTCATGCTCAGTTGAGATGTCTATGAAGGGAAAGAAAATACCTGCCATGGCTGTAGCCTTTGAAGTCCCATTCTCTCACTTCCCCTCTGCTTAGATCTAGATGAATATGCAGCATTTAAGGCACGAGCCACGGCTTGCAGAGTGTTGTAGATCCTGTAGCTGTCTAGAGAGAGGATTCTTTCCAGATCATCTTGGGGAAGCCTCTCCAGTTTCTCTCTCTCTCTGCATCTTGTCCGGCCTTTCACTGAGAATGCATGCTTTAAATAAAAACAATTAAAAGCATCCTCCCAAAACTTCTTAATACCAAAGAAAAAGGGTAGAAAATCACCGTATTTTGCCCCTTTACTTTTCTCAGTGAAGAAGGAAAATATACCATGGATGTATTGGAAAGATATGTCATTATACATCAGCTCCAGGGCGACATCCCACAAAACTGTTGTGATGAAGATTTTCCCAGCAATGGATTTCATCAATATGTCAAAAAACAGTTGTATAAATTGTAGTCCATTTAAGAAAAAAGACATTTCCCCATAGTAAACAAATACATGCACTTGCCTCCACTTGAGGAATGGAAGACGAGGAATGTATACTCCATTTGTATTCGGTCCTGGGATGCTTTGTGAGATGACAACACAGACACCGCTCTTGATGAGCACGGGTGTCAAGCTCTTCAGGAACCTCTCTCCATTGTTGGTGTCTGGTGCAAGGAGGCCAATCAACGTCCATCGGAAGTGCTGGAGCAGCTTGACAATCCCTGGGTACAGGGCTTCTTCTTTGGGGACCATCCGGTAGAAAAAAGGGAAATGCCTCTTATCATTCAGAACATGAGAGACAAAAGCATAAGTGACCTGGGAAGAGAAGGAAGATTTGGATCTTGTTTGATTTCAGATCAAAGCCTAAATATTTCTAAGCCCAACATGAGATTGGGAAGGTCTTAGGAAGGAGGAAGGTCTATTGCAAGGACCCTTTGGTGGGAACAGTGATTTCCTTGAAGGTTGTGGCAGCCATAAAGAAGGCAAATTTGATGCTAGGGATCAACAGGAGGGTAGTTGAAAATAAAACAGCCGATATCATAATGCTATTATACCTCTCTCCATTCCTACCTGTGGGATTTTATAGATGCCCAACACGTTTGAAATCTGGATGGAGTTTTGAGAGTCGGACCCTTCGAGAACAGCCAGTAAGTTAGTCTGTTTACCACAGCTGTAGTTTGGAAAGCTTAGCTGCCCAATTGACAACATGTCTAGCAAAGCATCATAGGTCACCCTTCCATCAAAAAAGTTCTCATGGATGCTGTAGCCCAGGGTGATGTTGGGTAACAGCTTTTGATTCTGGTTGATCGCTTGAATGGCATACAAGAAGGAGAGGAGCTGCCTGTACTTTGTGGGTCCTTTCCTGGGGGGAGAAATTATATACATGCCAGCACCAAGTGATATTTCTGTTCTACTGCTAATATTCAGCTCTACCTCTCTTTCAAATCAGAACCAGTGAAGGCAGCGAAGGTCCTGTGTGAGTGTCTGGAGGCGGATGGAGGTTGGATGGCGGCTAACAGATTGAGACTGAATGCTGACAAGACAGAAGTACTGTTTTGGAGGGGCAGGAGGCAGGCAGGTGTGGAGGACTCCCTGGTCCTGAATGGGGCAACTGTGTCCCTGAAGGACCAGGTGCGCAGCCTGGGAGTCATTTTGGACTCACAGCTGTCCATGGAGGCACAGGTCAATTCTGTGTCCAGGGCAGCTGCTTACCAGCTCCATCTGGTACACAGGCGGAAACGCTACCTGCCCGCAGACTGTCTCGCCAGAGTGGTGCATGCTCTAGTTATCTCTCGCTTGGATTACTGCAATGCGCTCTATGTGAGGCTACCTTTGAAGGTGACCCGGAAACTACAACTAATCCAGAATGCGGCAGCTAGGCTGGTGACTGGGAGCGGCCGCCGAGACCACATAACACCAGTCTTGAAAGATCTACATTGGCTCTCAGTACATTTCCAAGCTTTTGGAATGGGACCCTAAAGAGGACCAGGTAAATTGCGTTATGATAAAATGGGCGAAGGATGTGGGACATAATATATTCAAAGTGTTGGTGATGACGTTTAAAGCCCTAAACGGCCTTGGTCCAGTATACCTGAAGGAGCGTCTCCACCCCCATCGTTCTGTCCGGACACTGAGGTCCAGCGCCATGGGCCTTCTGGCGGTTCGCTCACTCCAAGAAGCCAAGTTACAGGGAACCAGGCAGAGGGCCTTCTCGGTAGTGGCACCCACCCCATGGAACACCCTCCCACCAGATGCCAAAGAGAAGAACAACTACAAGACTTTTAGGAGACATCTGAAGGCAGCCCTGTTTAGGGAAGCTTTTAATGTTCAACAGACCACTGTATTTTAATATTTTGTTGGAAGCTGCCCAGAGTGGCTGGGGAAAGCCAGCCAGATGGGTGGGGTATAAAATTATTATTATTATTATTATTATTATTATTATTATTATTATTCTAAGACAGTGATTAAAAGATCCAGAAAGCACTATCATAATGCCGCTTTGAGAAAGTAGATATTTCCCCCTTGTATATTAAACCTAAGGCAGAAAGACACCCTTCTCCTACCATCATTTTCCAGGAAAATCCTGCAGAATCCGCCCCAAGGCTCATCTGTTCCAGCATTCTCAAGGCAGCCAACCAGATGCACATGCAAAACTGAGAAGCACAAGAACTCTTCCCCTACTTGAGATTCTCAGTTACTGGTACCCAGAGGCATAGTGCCTGTGACAGTGAATGGAGAACATAGCCATTGTGACTGGTAGCCGCTGAGAGCCTAATCACCCCCAAATTTATCTGCCATTGGGATCTTCTTATGTTCTTAAAGGCAGGTACCAGACAATGAGAAAGGCCCCAGAAAGTAACTGGAGATGAGTTGGATCTCATGGAAATGGTAGCAAGTGGAACACCAGGAACTCCATCCCCACAAAAGGTCTTACCAATAAAAGCTGGTGGAAGGACATTGGCTAAAGATATGAGGATGAAACACAGTGTTTGTGGCAGAGAGGACCCCACTGATGAGGTGGTCTCCTGGCCTGAAATAATTAGGTGAATCTATCTCATCCCTTTCCAAAGACAAGAGGCATTTTGTCTTCAGTTTCCCACAGTCCCCATAAGGCAGTAGAAGCAGTAGAATGAGGACCATCTTTTTCCTCCCAGGAACAACCACCTCCCTTACAAAGAATTAGCAGTCTTTTGTTGTGGTGCTTGCAAGATGCAGTAACTTTCTTCTTACTAACGGAGCCCTGCAGAGGGGTCACATCTGAAGTGGAGAGAAGTCAAGCCAACCTCATTCTGGTGCAGTTATCATTTGTCCTAAATCTCAGCCCACCCAAGTTTTGGGTGGCTCAGGAGGCATATATCTGCCAGACCTTTCTGCCTCAGATCCATAACATCACATTTAGTGGACTCAAATGTGATCTTTGGAAGCAAAAAACAACACACACTATCATTTTGATAATTATATGGAGAAGTAGGACCACCTCTGCAAGTTCCTATCCTCTTTATGCAGCTCCACCTGCAACTGTAGGGCTGAGGAAAAACATGTTTGCGAAAACTCCAAGATCTGCCTCCAAACTGTGAGATGCAAATGCCAAAGATTGGTGGAAAATACCAAGATTAAGAGTTAGAAGTTACCTGAACTATCATACGTGAGCCCTGGCAGAATCCCCCCCGCACTGATGCTAACACAGGATAGGGCTATTCTGATGAATTTGAGAGGTGAAAAAGGGAACTGAAATTTCACGTAAAGACAGAGGCGATTCAGCAGATTTTTTGTAGGTTTTTTGTTTTTGTTCTTGTTTTTATTATATACTTTTTGGTCTTATCCTGCATTTTTATCCTGTGAACCACGCTAAGATCATTGAGTGAAGGGCAGTGTACAAATAAAACAAACAAACAAACCAACACTTGGACTTCCATAAAAGCGTTCAACAAGGTCCTCCTGGGTATGCTTAGTAGTCGTGGAATAAGAGAAGAGGTCCTCTGGTGGATCAGGAATGGAAGTTGCAGGAAGCAGAAAATTGGTTTAAGTGGATAGTCCTTCAATTGGGGGGGGTGCCAGATGTTCTTGACCAAAATCTCGCAAGGACAATCTGGCCACATCATGTTGCACCAACTACAGATTCTGCACCAGACCCAAGGGGAGCCCCAGAAAGAGTGCATTGCAGTAGTCCAGCTCCACGTTTTCCAATGCTCCAGTGGTCAGGCTATTCCTGTTCACAAACATCCATAGAGGACACATGGGTCTCTAGTGACAAAGGTGTATCCAAGAGTACCCCAAACTATGCACTTGCTCCTTTAGAAGGGGGAATCATCCAAAGAGCCTACAAATTGTGTGTCAAGCTCCTGTGTTCCTGTCACTCCCTAAGTGATGAAAAACCAGACAAGACAACAGCATAACATTGGGTCCAAATGAGCCACAACTCTATTGATTACAGATGTGAATGGTTTGGCATCGGCATTGCGTATAGCCATTTATTCCACCCCAGTCCATCTGCTGGGGGGTGCATCTGAGGGTAATGCACACCGGCCCCCCATGACCTACATCAAGTAGAGTTAACCACCGAGGGGTCCCTGTTGGAGGAGTGCTATGGCCTTAGCCCCCGCCTGGGCATCCGGACAGAAGCAACTCCTCACAGATCCCTTTAACAGGATACCCTTAACCAAAGATGTGAGGATTGCTATGAGGAAGGTGAAAATCAAATGGCCAGGGCCAAGTTGCCAAATGGAAAAATTTCTGCCAGGTGTTAGATTTCTGTTTATGCCACTGTGCAGTTTTTGGAGTCACAAGGTCGTTAATCACCGTCGGAGATGAGGAAGAGCGTCCGAGGAGTAGCAGCTCAGTCGTGCAGAATTCTGACACCAGGCCCCAAATATGGCGGCTGACAATGTTCATTGGAAGGTCTTAGTATGAAAATAAGACATATTAAAAAGGGGACGGAGGGTGGGAGATCCAACAATAACCTGGGGAGGAGGCCTGGGCAGGCCCCCAAGTTATCCCTCCAGGAGCGGGGCCAAGCAATGCCTATGGGCCAGTTGGGCCCACCCCCTGCGGAATGCCTGCACCTAAGCCTGGCACAATTGGTCAATCCGCAGGCAGGCTGCAACCCTCCCCAGCAAGGCAACAAATTGCGGGTGTGGACTTGGTTGGGCGCAACGCCGCCTGACCATTAAAGGTAAGTGGACTTTCCAGGATTTGAACACAGTTTATTGGACCTTATGGAGTCCACTGCTGCATCCAGACACTGGTCACAAGCCTTCACAGACTCTCCTGTTATGGAAAAATAGAGCTGTGTGTTAATGTAAAGACCCCTGGATGGTTCAGTCTCGTCAAATGCATCTATGGGGAGTGGTGCTCATCTCGCTATGAGGCGGAGGGATCGGGTGTTTATCCACAGACAACTTTCTGGGTCATGTGGCCAACATGACTAAACCGCTTCTGGCGCAACGGGACACTGTGATGGAAGCCAGAGCTTGGGACTTGGGACACAATATACAAATGGCAGATTGGGAGAGGTTATGGAAAACAGATTTGAAATTTATGGCACGTTGTTCACTGACATACAATTATATGAAAATGATGCACTGGTGGTATTTGGCTCCAAATCGAATGAGTTCAAATACCTGCTGGAAGTGTAAAGAAAAAGAAGGTACCTTTTATCATATGTGGTGGATGTTTAAAGTAACTAAAAAAATATGGGAGATGATATATAAAGAATTGGAAAAAATGTTTAAAACAACATTTGTTTAAAAAACCAGAATCCTTCTTATTAGGAATTACAGGTACCAAGATACCAAAGGACCAGAAAAGATTGTTTATGTATGTGACAACAGCCGCACGGATGCTACTAGCCCAGAGATGGAAGGAGGAAACAACCCTGACCAGAGAAGAATGGCAAACCAAGTTGATGGACTATGCTGAAATGGCAAAATTAACTGGGAAGCTCAGAAAGCAAGACAATTGTAAGCAGGTTAAAAACATTAGCAGGATTTTAACCACACTTGTAAATTAATGGAAAGTATGGAGAATTGGGAAAGACAAAATTTGGACAGTTTAGATATGCAGATGTAAATATAAACACTAGTACCCATGGAAGAGATGGGGGGAAGTCAGGAGATTCCGCATAATTTTGGCATGTGAATCTTGTATTGCTTTTTGTTGTATGTTGTATATTTATTTTAATCATTTTTTAA